GGTGGATTTATTGTTGGGTGTCTGCCTTCCCACAGTTAACACTCATCCTTTGTGAATTCCATGTTGGATGGTTTAATCATTTAAAGTGACAGGCTGTGAAAGGGACAGGATAAATTGGCATAAAGTGAGTGGAAATAAATTTTGCTTTTTTTTTTTTCACAGTAACTTTTCATGAAGCCTCAAGACATTGTGCTAATAATCAGACATGAAAAATTTCACACAAGCTACATATCAAAACCAACAAAACTGTTAATAATGAAATAACACATCTCAGAACTTTGATAGAACTTGGCTTAGACTTTTACATTTTGTGGAGCTGTTAAAAAAAATATAGTAGGGACCAATACAGACAGAGCTTCTAACGTTTTGCCAAGGAGACTTTTTGTATTGGTGGTGCTGGGGATTGAACCCAAGGCCCTGTGTGCAAGGCAAGTACTCTACCAACTGAGCTATAGCTCTAGCCCCACCAAGATAATATTTAAAGCAAGTAACATTACTATCATTTCATTAAAGAAAGGAAACATAGGTACTATGAAAGTGGGGATAATCTCATATTAAAAGTTTGAGTTGACAACTTTCTTTTAGCAGTTTTTCCCTTCTATGGATAGCTGAAATTTTAATCTTGGCCTAGAATTTGGGGATAAGAGCCTAAATCAATACCATTTACTTTAACCAATTTTGCTTAAAAGGTTGAGGGGTGAGTGGCATAGCTTGTCATTTTTTTTTTTTAAATTGGAGAAATCATAGCTTCTAACAACTAGTAGCATACACCATCCCTGAAATTCAATCACTATATATATTGTCAATTAATAAAGTTAGTCAATATTTACCACATCAAACACCTTCATAACAATTTTTTTTTTTTTTGGTGCTGGGGATTGAACCCAGGGCCTTGTGCATGTGAGGCAAGCACTCTACCAACTGAGCTATATCCCCAGACCAAAAAATATCAAATCAGGTAATTCCACCTATTTAGTAGAACTGTTTAGTATACTTGGTGGTGCTTGTCATAATTTATCAAGAAAGGGGCTGGGGATGTGGCTCTAGCGGTAGCGCGCTCGCCTAGCATGCGTGCGGCCCAGGTTCGATCCTCAGCAGCACCACATACCAACAAAGATGTTGTGTCCGCCGAGAACTAAGAAAAAAATAAATAAATGTTAAAATTCTCTCTCTCTCTCTGTCCCCCCTTCTCTCTCACTCTCTCTTTAAAAAAAAAAAATAATTTATCAAGAAAAATAACCCTGAATAAGAATTGCTATAATTATATAATCTATGTCATAAATTACATAATCCAAACTATGAGCTACTAATTCTCTAAAATGCTTCATTCTCCATTATATGGTCCTTAGTCTAATAAATGTCTGTTGCAAGAATAGATGTCCATCAAGATCGCTGCAAAACAAGTTCAAAAGCCTGTGATAAAATTTTAACAGGACTTGGAAACTTCATTTACCTAATTATCTTGAATTATCAAAATGTTCAATATTTGTATTTCATAGTAAGGTAGGTCATCTCCAATTTCATCACATACATATAGACACTTACAGTTCTGAAACTGTTACTAGCCCCAACTATAAAAAAGCATAATAGTTTTAAATTCAAAATGAAGAATATATTTATTCCATTAAAAGGATGTCCCTTTATCAGAAACGGAGTGTTATGGATTTTTCTTTAAAACAATTACCTTTTTAAAAGCATGATGATCTCTTTTGCTGATCCATTCATACTTATTTTAAAAAAGGAGCATGGAAAAAATTTACCCAAAGAATCTGATAGAATCAGGGTAGATTTTAGATTTTGCTTGGAGACGTGTCCTGAAGACATGTCCAGGTCAGTCATAGAGGCAAATGCACATAATTATGACATCAACCTTTATGTACTGTAGTACGCTAAATTATACATTTAAAAAATGTTAGTAATTCAAAGGCTGAGGACTTAGTTCAGTGGTAGAATGCTTGCATGCCTCACATGTACAAAGCCTTGGGTTCTACTCCCAGCATCATAAAAAACAACCTCCTACCCCAAACCTAACCCTTAGGAGTGCTGTCTGGTTTCATTGATTCCTGCAACCTCTAAGGTACCTGAATTTTAGACATAGAAACTTGTGATTGATAGTTAACTGTGAATTCAAATGTACAAATGATTGTTTGACCATTTCAAATTGTGTGCCCCAAATTGTGTCATGACTTTCCCTTCTAACCTATAAGATCCCCAAATCAAAGCCACACATACACAGCCTAGATTTTATATATGTCCAAGTGTAGTGGTGCTGTCTATAATCCCAGTGACCTGGGAGGCTAAGGTAAGAGGATTTCACATTTGAAGGCAGCCCAGGCAATTTAGTGAGACCATCTCAAACAAAAAGGGGCTGGGGATGTGATTACCAGTAAGGTGCCCCTGGGTGTAATCCCCAGTGCCAAGAGGAAAAAAAATACACACATAAAAAAGCTATTTCTTAATTCTTCCATTGCTTCTAGTGTGTGTGTGTATATACACAGTGAATGAAATTGGCAATGAATGAAATACTTTTGGTCTGAGTCTTTTTTTTAAAATTTTTTTTAAGTTGCAGATGGACACAATAACTTTTATTTATTTTTATGGGGTGCTGAGGATTGAATCTAGTGCCTCACATGTGCAAGCTCTGTACCACTGACCTACAATCCCAGCCCTGATCTGAGTTTTGAAGAATATTACATAAACACTTTGTCTTCACATCTTGAAAATAAAGATCATACAATTTAAGAGGATAAATTTCTTTTTTCTTTCCCAAGTAGTATCTTTACTAATATAAACCATGTGTTTGATTATCCAGAGTGAGGAATAAAAAATTTTCCCACACCTTTGATCTAGTCTTATGACTACTATTTCTGTCACAGATGTTTGGCTTTGTGATTAAGAGACTTGAAATGTGTGCTTCAGTTTCTTCCATGTCCTTAGTTCCAGTGCTTGCCACTCCTTGGCCTAGAATTCTGGAGCATTACATTTTAAGACATTCTTCATGACTACTTTTAACCTATTTTCACTGTGATGTAAATTCCTACTATTTGTTCTTTTAATGGATCAATTAAATATCCATAAAGATAAACACAAAGGAAGTTGCTGCCCCTTTATTACTGACCTGGTCAACTTATAATTAAGTAGAGTGACATTCATAGTTCATTTTGATTGAAAACGCTGAAAACACAGAAGCTGTATTTTCTTAGTGTTATTACCACTGTCAAGAAGAAAATCAAGGTTATAACAGGTTTTTCTTAGACTATACTACAAAATTAATGTAGCTTAATCACACCCTGTTCACTTTCTAGGTCAAATAAGCAATATGAAAAGGCGATAAAATTTTCTTTGAAACTTCCAAGTACAATCTGCATATACATGATTTTCAGAATAATTTAATACACCAACCTCAAGATACAACTATCGTCTAATACCATTATTTTAAATTTAAAGAAACGGATCCTTACAAGACCAAAATAACCCAAAGGCCATAAGGTTGGTTTTCCTTTTTTGTTTAAACAAAAGTGCACCACGATGTTTCAACAAGTAAGGCAAATGCCATGGATGTGAAAGGTGAGGTTTGCAATACACCACACATCTAGAACCCAGGGGAGGTAAATTAGTCAGAAGTGGTAGTCATTCTAATTAAATAATCAGGTAACATCATGACAAGTTGGTCTGCAGCATCAAAACTGTCCGTTTAACTTTCTTTTTTCTTGACAATCAGAGGTCCCACGTTGTCTCCAGTCTCTTCGTTATGTTTTGTGTGAGAACCATCACAGAATGGAAACTAGAAGAGAAGGAGAGAATGTGAAACATCTAATCCCCAAACAGTATATAGTGCTTGGCAGAACTGGAGTGATGTTTAATTCACACATCAGAACTTAAAAGATTTTTTTTGAAACTTTAAATAGGCTTTCTTAAGAAGCACATGCAAAATACACATACTGAGTAGGAGGAAGAAATCCCTTGGGGATAAGACACATCAGGAGTTGAATTTCACTAATATTTGATTATAGATGCTGCAAACCTATTTCAGTCTATATACTAGTTATGTTTCCAGTGAACTATGTCCATTGCCTATTTGTAAGGATTAATCTTTTTCTTCATCCTTGGTGCTGGGTTCAAACCTAGAGCCTTGTGCATGCTAGGCAACCAGTGAGCTATACCTCTAGCACTATTAGTAAGATTTTATTTATTTAAAATTAGCTTGTATGCTATCTCTACTGACCATCTTTGCAGTAATCTTTCCCCCAGTCTTTAATCTCTTTACTTTCATACCACTATGCTACTATTTCCCTTTTACCATTGTTCATAGAGGCATCTACAGTTGTGATGACTATATATAAATACTCAGTTTCTATTTTTTTGTCCATGATTTTACATTTTAGTTGTAACTGGTCTTTTTGGTATCTAGTGGGAGGAAAGGAACAAAATGAAATCTTTTAAAAAAAATATTTATTTTTTAGTTTAGTTGAACACAATACCATTATTTATTTATTTTTATGTGATGCCGAGGATCGAACCCAGCACCTTGCATGTGCTAGGTGAGCGCTCTGCCGCTGAGCCAACCCCAGTCCCAAAACTAAATTTTTAATAGTACTTCCCAGAGTATTCCAAAGAAGCTGAATCCTGCAAGTTATTCTGATTTAGTTTCCTTCTGTTTAAAACACATATATAGCTCTTGAGTCATAGCATATATTTTTTTTATTTTGAAGAAGTCATTTTGTAAAAAAACATTATTATTAACCTAGAATTTCCAAAATTGCCTGGATTATGGGCATTTTTAACTTTGATATCCATCATCACAGAATTATGTAGGGCATATTTTGCAAAATGCTGTTTAGGAGCCTGTTGCTTCAATATTACTAGAGGCTATCACTTTTCAAATTGTTATACCTGTATTCATAATTTTATCAAAATAAAATCATATAAAAATAAGTTCCAGTATTTGATAGGGTGAGTTTTCCTTCATTATTCTTCTTTGCTAACTTTATTATGTTTTATTTATTCTTCTAGATAAGCTTGAGAATTTTTTTGCCTTATTTCTCTTGTAGTTTTCATTTTCAGTTCCCATGCACATTCTTCTAAGATTATTTCTGTTGTTATTTTATATGCCTTTATATCATTTCCAAATATAGTTCTAGTTAGATATATTCTCATATCTGAATATTCTTGCTGTATATCATTTGTTTTTTGCAACCATATCCTTTCTATTGTTAAAAGATAAAAATAAGAATTCAATAACATTTCTGGTGACTCCTCAGGATTTTATACTTAGGAGGTCCACTTATCAGTAAAATTCTTTCTTTCCTTTTATATTTGTACATTTTATTTCTATTTAACATCAAACCGTGAGAGCTAGCACTTATTTTTCTTGATATTTTGAACTATACTCTAGAATCTGGGAGCTTCATGGTTTAATAGAAGGTATACTGTGTCATTCAAGTTTATTCAGAAGAGTAACGTAACAGTGCCTTGCCTTTCAAATAACAATCACCTCATTACTTAAATGAACAAAGTATAATTTCTGACACTTGAAACCTGACTATGATGGCACATAATCTCAAACTATGATACTCCAAAGCCTCAATTCTAAGATTAAAATAATATTTGACTGATGTTATAGAAATCCCATCTTAACTTAACTATTGGTACATAATTAAAACCAGCAATAAATTAATTAAAAATTATAGGAAAATTCAAGATATGAGCATATCTTAAATTTCTAGACATAAGTCTATCTTGGTGTAGATGGCAGTGCAAATGTAATGTATGAAAAGACTATATATTTCTTTTTTTAGATCACTAGGATATGGCATATGTTCATAATAAAGTCCTTGTAACAAAAACATGAACCCAAGATTTCAGTTTTTTTCTTGGAATAGATGAGGAAACAGGCTATAAAGAGCAAACTAAAATGTATCCCATATCAGAGGTCAGCATTTCAAAGTGACATGTTTGATAAACAAACAGATACTTTTATAGTAAGAATAAAAGTTTACATTGTAAAAGACTTCATTTTTATAAATAGCACACACAAAGCATTTTAGTACAGTTTTATTTACATGGATTATAAAATATATTTCTGAAAATGAAACATTTCTAAATAAAAAGCCTCAACTAACTTATTGAAATGGCACACTTAATTTTTGTTTTTATCTCTTCAAAAACTAACTTTTTTTCACATATTACTTCCTCCAGAAACAAGAATCAAGAATAGGAAGAGTGATTTATAAAGAAATATACAAAGAAAATCTTGTTTTCTCTTGAGGTACCGTATCAAAAATAGGGCCTTATGTTTGCTAGGCACAAAGATGCATCACCAGCTCCAAAAAAAAAAACCCTTATAAAATATTAAGAAAGTCAACATTTAAAGTTTGAATATTCTTTTTTCTAATAATCTATTTCTGCCTAAAAACTGAAATTGGCCTGTTTCTTCATGTTCAAACAAAAAATAAATTTTCTTTAAAAAGTAGCAAGAAGGTCTGGGTGCAATAGCACACACCTGTGATCCCAGCAGCTCAGAAGGCTGAGGCAGGAGAATTGAAAGTTCAAGGCCAGCCTTATCAATTCAGGGAGACACCTTGTCAAAAGAAAATAAAAAGGACTGGGGTATAGTACCAGTGGTGAAGTACCCCTGGGTTCGATCATCCTAGCCAAAGGGAGGGGGGAAAAAAGGAGTAATAAATCCTCGCTACTTGTTAATAAACTTTAATAGGTTTATAGTGTATGACGCTTTTATATCTTTAAAATGTAAACTTGGGCCTGGCAGTGGTGGCTCATGCCTGTAATCCCAGCTACTTAGGAGGGTGAGACAGGAGGAGTGCAAGTTTGAGGCTAGGCCGAGCAACTTAGCAAACTCTGACTCAAAATAAAAAGCAAAAAAGCAAAAAACTGTGGACGGAGCACAGTTGTAAAGTGCCTTTGGGTTCAATCCTTAGTACCAAAAGAAATGTAAACTAGGTATTAAAATTAATTTTGTTCAGCAACACTTTTTTTTTTTTTCCCCAGTGTTGGGGATGGAACCCAGGGCCTCACACATGCCAGGCAAGTGCTCTACTACTGAGCTACATCCGTAGTACACCACTGCACTTGGCTACAAAAATGCATGAAAATCGATTTCAGTTCATAATCTCCCATTTTCTCTCCTGTCCTCCCTTTCCTCTCCCATTCTCCTTCATCTACCCTACTAGATTCACTTTTGTTCTTCTATTAATTTATATTTGATTGATTCTTTATGTTATCCTATACAGATGCCTTTTAAAAAATATAGTTGTTTGTGGACCTTTATTTTTATGTGGTGGTGAGAATTGAACCCAGTGCCTCACACATGTTAGGCAAATATCCTGCCACTGAGCCACAACCCCAGCCCTACAGATGCCTTTTAATGGTACTTTCTTTTATCACTTGACTCCAAAATTTACTGTACTAAATCAGAACATGCCCCATTCAGTGCAGATTTCTAATTTTAAGTTGATGAAAAGACTAAAAACTTTTTTTCAATAGAGAACTAAAATGGGTAATTTCAAAATAGGATCATTAATTTCTTAATACAATATACATGGTAATAAAATATATTTAAATTAATCCAGAATTCTCAATATAGTATAAGTGAATGAATGTTACTTGGCATTCGAATTCAAAAGGCAAATTATATAAAAATATTGATGTATTTCAGGGAGTGCCTTGCTTGATATTTCTATGCAAGAGAAAGAAAATGTGTAGTGAATATATACATGCTTTCAAACATATCTTCATAAAGAGTTTTTGTGTTAAATAGCAAGTGTAATAAAAACAAATTTTGAAATTTGTTCAAAATTTAAACTTCTGAAATTAAAAATTCTGAATTATGTTTAACTGTCAAGTAAAGAACTTAAACAAAAAACTCAAAGGGTATTTTAATTCAGTTGACATACTGCCAAATTTCTTGTAAGATGCCAGTATTTCTTTATTATCAAAACCCGGAGAAAGTTTGTTAATCAAATTGCCTCAATTTCCTGGGTGTACATAAAATAAATACTCTACTATTAACCCAATATGAAAACTATAAATCTTTAATACTGGGAAAAAGAGTGTGAGAAAAGGTTAGAATGAAAGAATAAGTACAAAAATATCAAAGATCCTTGCTCTTTCCTTGGAAAGACAGTAACACTCTCAGGGTCTTCATAAAAAACATAAGGCGCAAGATTTGTTTTTTTTTTTAATGACCCCTATGTCTTGTGTCTTTTTCAAGAAGTTTCAAAATAGAAATAAATGCTCTTCTCTGTGTCTTCTATCTGAAACACTTAAAAAAAAGAAACTATCATATTATCTTCCTCTTCCAAACTTTATTTATTATTATTATTTTTTTGTGTGTGGTGCTGGGGATTCAATCTAGGACCTTGCACCTACTATACAAGAACTCTACCACCAAGCTATACTCCCAGTCCTAAACTTTGTACTTTTAATGGGAGTTTTGATGCTATGTTCCCAAGAAGTCACTTGGGGTCATTTTGGCTCATTACCATTACCTGAACTGAGAAATATAATTACTTTGGTTGAGAAAAAAAGTTAAAAGTAATGAGATCTTTGACACTACATTAGAGAACAATATGACAGTTTTTACTCATTTTATGTCCTTAATTTAATAAAACACAAGATAGTGGATATAATATGAAAATACATACAGAGAAATTAAGATTTTACAAGACCATAAATCTAAAATTGGGTTTTCAAGAGATCTAACATTGGGAATATTGTTTCTGTGAAAAAATGGACTTAGTATACAACCTATTACTAAACCATTAATAGGATGGAAGCTTTCTCTCTTTCATTCATACACATACACCTTCACCAAAACAGAAGCCTGCTGTCACCACTATCACCACTACCTACAAAATTAAGGACTCAAACTCCCCAGGTTATAAATGACAGAAAATAATTCTACATACCACTTGATGTGGGGGATGGGGGATGACAGAAATTTAGTAAGACTATGGTGCATACTCTTCCCTCTCATGACAAACTTCTTTCATTTTCTTTTTGAAAGTGAGACCATCTCTTCTTTTATAAGGCAGAGTTTCACATCTATCCTCTCACTCTCCTTTCCTTTCACCCATTTTCAAGACACCACTATCCTAAATAGTACCTTTCCCTAAAGTTACTTTAATCTTTTCTGTACTGGCTCATTTCATTTTTACTTAAAATATGGATAGCCCTTTTGTAAAATACTACAAAATAGGCCAGTTTCTGAAACAGCAGACAGCATATCAAGTCTGGAAAGAGAGAAGGAATGGAGTATGTTAAACGGTGGAATTACTGTGCATCAATAAGAGATCTGATTCAATTAGGTATGGGTGATTGCATCTTAAGAATATCTGTATCACACGATATTTTTTGATTGGTAAAAAGGAGCTTAGATTTTGTTATTTATAAATACAACTGGTTTGAATGAGGGAAAAATGAATATAATTCAATACAACCATTTCAACAAAGGTGTTAATTTTAAGTCTTATGTTAGTCAACCAGTAAATGTGTCACTTGGCAGCTGTGTGATAACCTTTGGAACCTGAGGAATGTGGGGAGTTTCCAAAGGTGTCTGAAGAGTAAGAACATTCATTACCTTATATATATTCAAAGTGAATCCTTAATTGAGTCATGCAGGAATAACAAGTACCCAAGACTCAAGAGAAAATTCATAACTGGCAAATCCTACATGCAAAGAAGATTACTGAAGCCCATAGACTCCCTCTTCTAACCCTCTGGGAACTCTATAAAATGAAAGAATAATAGTGGAATGTTTTGTTGAATTATAAAGTCTAATAAACATTCAAACCACTAGCTTGTGTCCATTCGTGATCCTTCTTGTCATAAAAATTGAGATCCTAGTTGAAGAAAATCCATATTTACTTTATTGGACACTTTTACCTCTGGGAAAACCCAATCAACCCAATCAAAGGAAAACTCTCCTTATCTCAAAGTGATGCTTTATTAAAGTTCCCTCAAGCAGTTACCTTATTTTTCTTTCCTTCACTATTTATATTTACTGTAATTTTGACATATACTCAGACTTACAGCATTTCTTTATTAGTAACTCACATTTTAACCTACTTGGACACAGTGTTTAATCATTCTGTTGAAATGACACCAAAGGTCAAATGCCTACTTGCTTAATCCAACTGTTCTACTACAATAGTTTATTCACCTGATTGTTTTTGTATAGTCAGATGTTCACTAATAATCTTTGAGAATTTTCCATTTCTACTTTAAAGCCACAATATTTTTAGTTTTATTGTAATCCCTCTGGCCTATTTCACCTCCTCAATTGACTCTTGTTCCTCTTTCCAAAATGCAAAAAATTCTCTAAGATTTCATACTTAGCTTTTGATTTTTATCAGTATTAAGGATCAGTTACATTCTTATACTTGACTCATCAGTTTTGCTGATTTCTATCTCCAACCCTGATGTCTCAGCTGTACTCCCACATTTTAGATCATCTGCTGTACATTTCCATTCAACTGTCACCTCAAATCCACTCTTTGAAATTGAACTTGTTATTACTATTCTGGAAAATTGTTTTTTTCCCTGAATTCCTTATTTTTGCTAATGACAATCTTTCTAATCTCCACCCTTGGTTCCTTTAGTTTTTGCTCCCCCAATCATCCATACACAAGTCACTAAATTTGGCTGATATTTCCCTCAAAATGTTTAACTGTTCCCCCCACCCACCCACAGCTAGCACTCTGGTGTAAGTATCATAACTTTATGTCTGAAATCTCTGCTGAAAACTATGTACCCTACCACTTCTGCATGCCTGGAAGGACAAATTCCTTATACTGTCACTCAGGATTCTCCTCAATTTAGGTTTATTCTCTGGGGGAAAGAGGAGCTTGTGTAAGGACCAGACTAGGGTTTTCACCCTATACACCTTTCCTCATATGAGCCTTTTATTGAAGATTTTGAAAATGGGTTCCTAATACTTGCAGCATATTTATATACCAGCTATATTTTCAGGGGCAATTTAAATCCCAAACATAAATTATTATGCTTTCCCAGAAAATTTTAGTCCATGGTGTAAGCTCTTTCTTTTCTCTTATTTAAAACATTTGTATTGCATTTATTATACTCTTCCAAGAAAACTACTGTTTTACTATATATATATATACATATATATATATATATGTACATATATATAGTTAGCAGTAAATGAACTTATATTAAGATCATTAACTGAAGATCTATTGCAACACCAACAGAAATTCTGTAATTTTGAAATGCATTACTTTTCATATTTTAATGAGCAAAAAGAGAATGGGACCTACTATAGACAAGGTTTGTTTAAAAACAACAAACCAAGTTTAGTCTATTGAATACTATTAAGAGATTATTTTCTAGCAACCCCACAAGTACTTACTAGGAAGCCTATTCTGAATATACAGTGTTATTCTTAAGGTACAATTTGTTGTAATGGGTCTGTTAATTTTTGGTTCATATTTCATATATTCATCAATTTCTGAACACAGGAACAAAACCTAGCTCTGTATCACTGGATTGTACATAGATCAGTTTGGGAGAAATAGATTCGAGAAAGATACTTTTTAGAACCAAGCTCACAGTTTCTTCCACATTTAAAAAAAAATTTTTTTAGTTGCCAATGGACTTTATTTATACGCAGTGCTGAGAATCGAACCTAGTGCCTCACACATCTTAGGCAAGCACTCTAGCACTGGGCCACAATTCCAGTCCTCTTCCACATTTTTGATAATATGATTCATTAAAATGGTTCTTCACTGTGGGAAGGATCACCAACATAATGTACTTTCAAAAATGAAAGTACATTAATTTTAATTTTTTTTCCAGAACTTGGTTAAACCCATAGCTCTGTGCATACTAGGCAAGAACTCTAATATTGAGCTATACTCCCACCCCAGAAACATCAGTTTTTTTTTTTTAAATCTTTTACTATTATTTTTGGTGAAACAAATTTTACTTGAATGCTAATAATGGTAGCACATATGATGTTTTCACTGTATTTCTAATAATATACCAGAAATTCTGAAGTCATTCAAGAAAAAGATGAACCCAGGAGAGGATTCTATTGTCTGGCTCACTAGCTGCCATCATATCTAAACCCGAAAAGGTACCGTAGGTGAATAATTTCCACAAGAAATCTAAAATACAATTCTCATAAAATAAATAAGATTTTAAAGAATCTTGTATTGGTAGATTTTTAATTAAAGGAGTTAACAGCTGATAGAAGGTTTAGGATGCCAATAAGATAGGATAATTTTCAAGTTTCTTTTGAAATTTCTGAAAACTTGTCCTAGTATCCAGAGCTGTTAATCTTAAAAAAAAAAAAAAAAAAAGTACTTCTTTTGTTTCTTGTTGTACTCAAGCTGCACACTCCCATTTCCTGGGATAGAGGAAACTAAGATCCACTTGGGGAGGAAATCCTAAGAGTAAATTAAAGAGATTTTTCTCTTTATTTGGTCAAGAATATGGTTGCATTCACCTGAACTCAATTGAGGGTATGGTATAATTTGACTGAATGGTAGTTATATATATGTTAGTAGTAAATATATGGAAAACAGAAGAATAGGATGCAATAAAAAAGAAAAGAAAAAGAAAAAAGGTCTGGAAATTACAGTCTGGTAATACAAGTTTGACAGAGTAGATTAAAAAGAAATGTTACATTAATAACAGCTTTGTATGACCTATTATCCTTACCTTTTTGGACCTCCAGCAACGGCAGAACACAGCTTTATCTCCCAAATCCTCCATGTCAAAAGCATGTACTATCTTGGGATTGTCTTTCTGGATGTGAAGATTTACCATTGCTTTATTGCTATGATCTTTGACATAGAATCTCTTGTAAGCTAAGTAACCAATTGCAGCCGTCCCAGCAGCAATGGTAACTGCTGCAATCCATTCAACTGGGGCAGGGAAGAAAAAGAGGAATAATTACCCAAACCAAAATACACACTAAAAATCATTCACAAATGTTTAGGAAATTCAGTTTTTGAATATTAAGGAGTGCAACAATCAAAGATTTTCAATGTTACCAAAATGACCAGAACATGCTGGTGTAATAGTGAGGGATGGGGAAAGTCCCAACAAAGGTCTAAGGCAGTTATATATTTTCTATTGAGTGATGAAAGTGAAATTAAGATAGAAGAGGGAAACAAAGGTTATTTTCCCTTCTTTAAGACAGAGAAGCAAAAACAAGGCTTAATCTTTCTCAAAGTGTTCATAAACAGATTTTTAAATAATTTGAGCCTGCAGGTATACACTGCTTAAAAGAAAACACAAAACCTGCAAAGTAAAATTTTAGATTACAAACAAACAACTACAACAACAAAAAACAACAGGAGGAGATTATGTTAGCAAAATGACTCATTAGTGTTCATTTAAATAGCTAGTTCCTTAGTGATTTTAAAATGATTTTATTTATCAAAACTTAATTCTAATTACCCACAGAATCAATATTCAAATAAAAAAAACACGAAAAGAACACAAAACAAAACCACTCCTAAAGCTAAACATTCAAAGGAATATATCTTGCAGAATTCTAAGTTACAAAGTCATTCAGAAGTCTGTTTTTCAAAGTTTCAAAGTGCTTTCTTATTAAAATAAAAATCAGAACATACAAATTTCACATAAAATGTGATCAATATAATTATAGTCTCATTTAATAAATTCAAATTTCTATTAACCACAAGTGGATGATTATCTGAATTCCCCACAAACTCCATTTTTAATTTAATGATATTATTCTCCTTTCTAATTATAATAGTAATAAATGTGTTTGACTAACAGGCCATTTACTTATTCTCTTTGCGTAGTTCTTCAAGGAATTCTTAGAAACCCAAATGCTTAATGACTACCCCAGCTCCAGGCAGTGATGGATAGAAGAAAGTTCTGCATAATCTGGTTAGTCTCAGCCTCAGATGAGAGTTGTCTATTCTCAGCATGGAGTGGGCTGCAGGATGATATTGAACAGGGGTCAGGAAAAACACAGTGCACTGCTTCCCAGCACTTCCTGAGTCACATCTTCACAGTGTTTGAAATAAGTTCCCAGACTATCAAATAAAGCCCTAGGGAGATTAAGTACAAAAAACACATTCCAAGGCCAAATAAAAACACATAAGGAGTTAGTAACCATATGGCTTATTTGCATTACTGTGGTCAAATTTCCTATTTCACTAATGTGATCAGTCACCATACCTAACATTGTCTCACGTGTAATTGTAGCTCAATCTTAACTCTAAACTGGAAAGGAAATATATCATTCCCATACTTAATTCCTTTTATCTTGGACTTCCAGTTTACTTAATAATTTTGTCTGTAACAAATTTTTCTAATTAATAATTTTGTTTTTAACCAATGTTTCTAATTACCATGTTCTATGGATTTTATTTTCAACTTCAGTATTTTTTTTTTTTTTTTTGTAATACTGGGGATCGAACCTTCAGCCTCTTGTATGCTAGGCAAGTGCTCTACTACTGAGCTACATCCCTAGTCCAGTATTCTTTCCAAAGTAATTTAGATTGTTTTCTTTTCCACAACACTTCCATTCTTTCATTGCTATAACCACCTAAGATAAACATTAACTGACACTTTGTCCTTCCCAGGTGCTGCATGACTGAGAAAACTAGTCATTTGACAGTGTTAAACCTTTGGCCTCATCAGAAGTTGTTTTAAAGTACACTCTTCTTGTAGATTTCTCTTGAAATTTTAGTGCTGTTTCATGGTATTATCCTGTGGTATTTCCAAGCAGGGCTGCAACTTTGCTGTGATTTCTACCTTGATCTGTGATCTTTCTTTTTGATGCATTATTTACTATGGAACTTTCTTGGAAAAAATATTCTCTGTTAGGAGCTACGTCTACTTAGCTAATGGAAAGACACTCTGAATAGCTAAAGTATCTATTTAAAAATGGACTAAAACATTGCTATGCACAGGATATGCTCAGTAATGTTTGCTGAATGTTGTCTTTAGTACAAACTTAAAATTTGAGGTCAATATTCCATAAGACTAAATAACACAACTCACTAAAAGTGAATCTTATATTTTACTGTTTTACGTGAATTGGGAAGTGCTTTCTGACGTATCTGTTTTAATGGTGCTTACAGATTGCAAAAAATCCTGAATTGGCTAGTTATTAGCTTAATGATACAAAAAAAAAAAATTCTATAGGAACTTCAACATCAAACTCATAACAGGTCAAAAGAATCTCTCCTAGCTGTTAGAACATTCTTTTCTCATATTACCAACTGAATTCATTTAGTGACTTAAAAAAAACTTTTTTTTAACCTCCCCTAGATTTTGTGATGGTAAAATAAATGACAGAATAACTGGCATAGAAAAGAGGCAATACTGCCAAGTATCATTTAAATAAATGAGTGCTGAGTGGCTGCTCCATGGGGAAATCAAAACATACTCTCTGATGCTACCCCCATCATGGGTCACTTATGCTGTAAGCAATTATCACAGTACCATGTGTGTTAGAAAAATAGCTTTGTATTTGCTCCAAATATGTGTTTTAGAATCACGGAGCTAGATAATATCTTAAGAATTTCCCCTTTTTCTCTCCCCAAATTCTATTTCCTTTTTTTCTCTTCCCAAATTCTAATTCTCTAATCTCATTTGGGGACAAATGTAAGAGTTCCCAGAAGTAACAAAAGAGTTGCTATTTTATCATTTCATTACTGTGGCCTGAATCAGTCTCTTCTGGCAAAAAAGTGAATTTCACTGACTACTCTAGGGAAAAGAAGTGGAAAAAAAAGCTAGATAGAGATAAACAAAAATGATGGTAGATTTAAAAATCAACAATTAGGGGAGAGAAAAAACTGAAAACTTGAGTCAACAAATAACAAAACCCAGTGACATTTAGTACTCGATAGGTATATGCCTATTAAGAAAAGTCATGCTGCCTCTAATACCAGCAACTCCAGAGGTGGAAGCAGGAAGATCACAAGTTCAAGGTCAGCCTGAGCCATTTAGAGAAACCCTGCCTCAAAATAAAATACACAAAAGGACTGGGAATGTAGCTCTGTGGTAGAATGTTCCTGGGTGCAAGTCCTAGTATAAGCAGAGGTGGGGGAAGAATAACCTCAGAGGCAAAAAGGGACTTTACCAAGACTCAATACTTAAAAATATTTTGTCAGTTGGCATCTTTCAGACTCTGGGTTAGAACTGGGTAGCTCCAAATCTTCAGCATTTCATTTTTTTCCCCCTTTACTGGCTTATCTTCGTTTTGCTTTTTCTGTAGATATTTCTCATGGTGCAGTTATTCCTATAGTTAGATTGAACCCACTCTACCCAATTCTGTTTAATAAATTATCTTCCATTAAAGAACATAAACATTTCTAAACTCCCCCTTTCTTCCCTTGAACTATTATATAATCTCTAGACTTCTCTCAAAATTATTCAGAGATGGAGAAAACACGGACTTGACCCCGAATCCCACACCCTTATTTACAACTCATTCCTCAGATTTTCTTTATCATGAGGATTATTTTTTTCTTTAAATTGGAAATCTCACCCTTCTTCTTTTCTTTCAGCCCCTTTTCTGCCTCAAACTGCCTTCTCCTACCCACTGTCAACTGCCACAGAATCAGAACATTCTTTTCTATCACGAGAGGGGGAAGGGAGCTGTGTTGAAACCCAGTCTTCCCTGAGATTTTGCACAGACTGGAGGTGGTGCCTGGTAATGTTTTCTTCTCAAGGCTTGGTGTACTGGTGGAGTTCAATGTGAGCTGAGTAGAAGTAATGGACTAATTTGAATTTGCAATTTCATCTGTCCGGCCTTAACTGTCTTATCACGCCTATGCCAAATGTCTTACCCTTACACCAAATGACTTATCTTTGCCTTTCTCTTAACCTACTGTAGTAAAGTGTGGAATTTACTTCTTCAGATAAAAAACAAAAAAAATAAAATTAAAAAAACCCCCAACAAACAAGAAACCCTTTAGTATGGAATATTTCAGACACACATAGAGACCATGCAGGATAAAGAAAAATTCATTTACCCTCATCAAGTTCCAATAATTATCAACAGATGACCAATCTTGTTTTGCCCATAGTTCCAAATCCCACCCTCTCATTATTTATTTGTTGTTTATAACCCATCGGAGCTACAACTTTTTCCTCAGTATGATTTACATATCCTTTCTCAGAAAAAAAGAATTCCTTAAAGCATTACTTTCAATGAATTAATGAATTTACTCAATCAATTTGGTGAAGTTAAATGAGGTGGGAAATTATGAATTAGTTTCAATAAAATATATAAGGATACAAAAGTCAGACAAGATTTACATAAGGTTTGGGTTATATGCATTCTAATGATTAGGGTTTGGGATGGATAATGAAGGGGAAGGTGAACAGAAAAATCTCTATTTTGTAACTTGGGGGTAAAGCCACTTGTGAGTGTAAGTGGTTTAAAGGAAAGGCTGGTTAAAGAAGCCCCTTTAAAATACTTAGTTCAATTGTTTTTTGCTTTTGTTTTTTCTTTCTAAAGATGAAGGCAAATTAGGCTGAAGAGAAGAAAACCATTATGAGGGGCTAAAGATTTAAAAGTGACAAGTATCAGTGAGGAGGCAAGAATTAAGGCATCTGGAGGATATGGGAAGAGAATGGCCTCAAGAATTATATTTTTCTTGTCAACAGAAGCAAAGGGATTAAGGATGAGAATAGATTCAATGTCTCCTGGAGATATTAAATAGCCCGGTCAGTTCTGGAAGGTCCATTTAGAAGGCACAGGGAAGAATCCTAAGAGATTAGGGAAGCAGGCAGGAAATGCCACTTAGTGCTAAAAACTATAATGAATTAATGGTCTCATCAACCAAATCGACAAGAAGACCCATCTTATGGGCAAAGATCTTTGATAGGATTTCTATTGCGATCACTCATTCTCATTGCCTACTTCCAGTCCTGGCCTGATCCCCATTTACTCTTATTTATAACCCACTCATTACTTTTTCTTTTTCCCTGAATATAAAGAATTCAGAATGTATATACATAAACTTTTACTTTTTATTCAACATATAAGTTATCATTGTCACATACTATGTTCTAAGCCTTTTATAATTATGAATTCACTTAATTGAGAACAGGTGTGATCATCTTCCCCTAAATTAAAAAATCAAATTGATCTTCAAATCTATAGAAGTTAATAGGTTTGTTTTGAAAATTGAGTAGAGGGCTGGTATACTTGAGGCTCTGATTCCTAGTACCTCGAAAAAAAAAAAAAAAGAGAGAGAAGAGAGAGGAGAAAGGAGAAAGAGGAGAGAGAGAGGGAGACAGAGAAGAGAGACAGAGAGAAGAAACAAATTTTAATGGGGTGTAGGGATGTTTATTCTTCCAAACCAAATTGTTTTCTGTTTCTACTTTGCCAACCACTATATTTGAGAAGGAAGGTACTGGCAGAGAGATTTACAAAGCCTCTGGGCCTCTCCCTATGGCCCCCACAACAACCTTTATGCTTATCAGTGAAATAAAAAGTAGTTACTCCACATAATGAAGTTGTCAATCAGCTTCACCAAGTGATTTTGTATCCTTTACTGGATGATAAACTAATGGAAAACTCATCCCTGAACTCCCTTATGTAAAGGCTTAAAAAACAAAAACAAAACACTTGTCTTGCTTACAGGAAAAATTAACCTGTACATAGTGATAAGAAGTCCTAGGGATTCCACAATATGCTACCTAAATGAAGTTCAATTGTGGTCATGGTTATTCAGGAGGCCTGGGCAGGGAGATGAAAAGTTTGACTAGCCTGGACAATTTAGAGAGACCTATCTCAAAATAAAAACAGATAAATGGCTTGGGATGTAGATCACTTGCCTACCATGCATGAGGCCCTGGATTCAATCCCTAATACCACAACAAACAAGCCCCTGAAATAGAGTTAAATAGATTTCAATGCCTATTTACACAAAATGATCCCATATTTTAAACAAAAACACATTTTGGAATCTTTTGGCCCATGTGCAGTCTTTCTATAAAATTAAAAATATTGGCAGCAAAAGTCACATGAGCATTTTATTTTATCCAAAGTCTTATTCTTGACAAAAGTTTTTATAAAAACCAAAACCATAGATATAACTCGATATTTTAAATGTACAAGATGCCTCCAGATGATGATCCTTTCAAATAATTTTTGCAAATAATCACCTTTTTATTATTATTAACTTAGAAATGTCACTGATTTTTTCCCCTATCTTCCAAGTAAATTTTGTCAACAGAAGTAGAACTCTCCAACTTATGGACTATCTCTCTTTAATACAAAATTAGGGTTCAAGTTAGTAGGGGCTTATTACAGAACCTGGTACTACAAATGCTCAGAATTTATTGAATGAATCAATTGTATCAATTTTAATTACTTCTGGACAAGCTCTTTACCTTTACTGGTTACATTTACAGGTAGCCAAACTTTGCATTTTATACCAGGACAGAGAGATCACATATATCATGTAGCATGAGGAGGGTGTTATACTAACAAATATAGTATTAATATTGTTATAAAGTGAACTTCACACTAGGCAAATTTTATAAATAATTCTCTTAACTTTAATTGGACTTTCTGCAAAGTATTGTTTCCAAACCTTAGGTACTAGTACAGAGAAGGATGACTGTGGAAGCTGAAGGAAAGATCAAGGAACTTGGTTTTTAATCCTCTCTCTTGGACTACAGCCACTGAACGCCAGATGCAAGGGGCATAATAAAAAACTGGGAAAACAGAAGACCTTGGATTGGGTTTCTTCACCTTAAAAAAATCTGCAAAATTAAGATGTGATTAGTCATGCACGGCTTCAGGATTGCAGGAAATTAACTTTCTGGCTCCATGTCGATTTCAACGTGAGAAGGAGAACATGTTTGTTTTACCGCTCACCTTTCCTTTTTCTAGGCCCAGCGACTTAAGGACACAAAAGCAATTTGGAGGAAAACAAGAAAAGCCAGCAGCGAGATCACTAACTGTTAGGGTTTGACTAGTTGAGGGAAACAAGTATCAGAGCTGCGTAGGCTACTGCATGGCCCCGCGCTACTTATGCCTAGTGACCATCCATCCACACCCTGACCTCGCTCCTTTCACTGGTCCAGTCCAGAGCCCGCAGCCGGGCGGAGCGCATGTCCTTCTGCATCTCAAGGTTAAAGGACCTGCAGGCGTGTAGGACAGTGATAACAAACCACAAGAGCTGCGGGCGCTGCAACCGGTGCGCAGGCCGCCAGCCTCACCCGCTCCCAGGCCCCACTTCACCTCGTATGCTGGATTGGGAGGTCAGACCCATGGCTCTGTCGCTCGCAAGGTGTCTGCGCAGGACGCGGATCACAAATGGGCTCACACAGACCGCCGGAGTCAGAGCACAAGAAGCGTCCTAAGGCCACCGACTGGGGTTGCTACGGCGCAGGCGCCGACAGGCTGGAAGCACGTGTTTGTGTTCGCCCGGGGTTGATACTGAGCATGCGTGGACCTGTGTCCCGGGCCCTAAGGAAGTCTGGAATCCGGATTTTGACAGCTGCAGGAGGCGGGAGGAGGAAGACTTAGAGGGGCAGCCACTGAGTCTGCGCAATTCTGAAGGGCGGGGCCCTGGGAATAGGAAATCCAGGTCAGATTTTACATTTCTTCCAGGTGTGTGGGTTTCTGGTGGCGGGTACAGGTTCTTGCAAGACACTTCCCTTAACCAGAAAACTAAGATATTACCTAAAATTTTCTTGCTTAGTTCTTGCTTAATTTTTACATGTAAGGTCGGGTCCAGTTTTCATATAAGATGCCAGCGGCAAACACAGGCATCGATGATACAATCCTTTTCCAGAACCTCCCTTAGGTCCCGGTGTGCATCCACCTCTTCCTTCTGCTTTGACCTAGTTAATGATCCACTCAGGACCTTGGGGCGGGAGCTACCTAGAGGTCAAGTATGAAGGAAGGAGGGAAAGGGGAGAGAGATACTTGCTTATTTCTACAAAAAAAGTGTTCACTTAAAAAAAATTATTATTCTTTCCCAACAGCCTGAAATTTGTTCCAAAATTCTTTTGAAAGAGCAGGTTAGAGGCAGCAACTGGGGATTGGGGCTAAACTTGAAAGAGTACTTTGAAGATGCGTCTTCTATCGAGCTACCTGCTTTCACTTGTTCTTACGGAGGGTAGGGGTTGCAGGGAGTTGATTTGCACAGAATGGGTGGCCTCCCATTTCTGCTTCCGAACTCTCCCAGCACCTGACAGCTCCTCTCACCTGGAAGCCCCAGGGGTCTATAGGCCCGCCCCCGGGAAGCTCTGGGGCGCGCGTTAAATGAACAAAGGCAAAACTCCTTCTGTGGTGTCGTAACGCCAATCCTGGGGTAGAGACGAGAAGGACCCCTGAAGTCCTCCAGATCGCAGTCATGCCCACCGGCGCCGAGCGTCAGCCCCGCAGCTGGGGTCTGGTCGGGCAGCCTCTGGGCATGCTCAGTGCGGCGCCTGCCGCGGGTCGCGCAGTCGGAAGCTCGCAGCGGCCGCAGCAGTGCGGGCGGCGCTGACGCGCGCGCGGCTGCGGAGGGGACTGGAGGACGGCGGGAGGGGGCGGGGCGCGGGAGGTGGGGCCGCCGTCGCCGTCAGGGCCCCAGGGAGCGCGGGGCGCCGCTGCCGCCGCTGCTCCGCTCGGTTCCGTCTCCTGGGCAGCGGCGGGACCGGCGACCGCGGCGGCGGAGGGACAGGAGCTGGGAGCCGCGGTCCGCAGAGTTGGGCAGGGGAGCACCCGCGCCTCCGCGGCGTCATGGGCCCCCTTCCCGGGCCTCAGCGGGCACCAGCCGCGGGAACCCCCAGGCCTCCTCGCGGCCGAGCCTGAGCGACCCCCGGGTTCTCAGGCACTCGCTCCCTACTCCCTATTTTTTCCTCCTTTCGCCACCGTTACCGCTTGTGCACTCGGTTATGGCAACAGAGCCGCCATCCCCCCTCCGGCTCGAGGCGCCCGGCGCCCCAGAGATGCGGACCCCACCGGTGAGCGATGCCGCCCCCGAAGGCGCCCCGCAACCAGCGGGCGGCAGGCTGCGTTTCCTCAACGGCTGCGTGCCCCTGTCGCATCAGGTGGCTGGGCACATGTACGGAAAGGACAAAGTGGGTAAGTGAGGGTGGCGCGGGGCTTCCAGCTACCCTTCTACCTCCACGAGCTCCCTGGCCAACCGAGGCAGCCTGGCGCTCACCACGGTGCTGGGACAACCTCCCACTCCGCACCCAGGGCTGCACGCCGCACCCCTGGCCTCTTCCGCCCTCCCCGGGAGCCTCGCTACCGGTGCAGAAAGGGGCTCGGAAAGTGGGGCTATTTCTAGGGTGTGAGGCTCAAGCTTACTGGAGGGGCGACGGGGAAAGGCGTGTCTGGTCTCCCCAGGGAAGGGTGGGTGTTCGTTGGAGACGGTGTTGTTAGTAAAAATAAGGAACTTCATTTTTACTGGACGGGGAAGTGAATTCTCCCTCGAGCGCAAGATCTGTTTATTATAGGCGAGTAGCTATTGCAAAAGAAAAGGAATGAAATGCAGATGATGCTAATCTAGTGCTTCTCAGTTGGGTGCAGCTGCATAGCTGGAGGGGGAAAAAAACAAAAAACTGGGCTTCCCCTCATACCCCGGGGGAAGCTTGCTTGGCTTAAACAGGATCTCTGCCTCCTTGTCCCTTGATGGTGTGTGTGTGTGTGTGTGTGTGTGTGTGTGTACGTGTGTGTACGTGTCTGTCTGTCTCCTGGATTTCTCTGGGAGGCGTGGTTCCAGTAGTGCAGAAACTCGGATTCAGGGTAGGAAATACACCCTGCTAGAATGATACACAGATAAAACATTCATAAAACTAGCATGGCCTCTGTAATACATTTTGTAAGTTCACAACTTTTAAGGGATAATATGAAGCTTATCTCAAGTTAGGAACTGTAATTCACCTAGTTTATTCACAGTGGTTCCTAGAGCCATGATTACTTGAAGAATCTGATAGATGAGTACGTGAGTATTGCAGATCTTTGACCCGGAACAACCACTAGAGACTATTTGTTTTTTGCTGGTATAATGATTCAGGTTTAGGTTGGTAAGTAATAAGGACATTTTTAGACCACATGACTAAGGTTAAGCCTGGTTAAGTGGTAAACCTAAAGTCATACAGCTACTATGTGTTACCATGTGATACCCAGGGATTTTCCTTGGAGTATTGTTTTTTTCATTGTTCTGTACTTGCAGAAAGTACACAGACTGGGACTCAATTACACTCATGAAATGTTGAAAGAATGACAATTGACTGCTCTGTTAGTACATCAAGTTAGGAAACAGTACTTAAGGTGCTTAGCGTAGACATTTCCTCCTATGGGTCGTATCTGTGTATGAGAGTTTGAGTGTACCCATGGAGTCTCTGTTAATAGAGACTGACTTACTCATTTATATTAATAAATTGTGATGATACTATTCCTAATAATATTTTAGATAGAGGGCTAAAAGATTGTTTACCTAAGGGTCCTATAGCCCAACTTATATGCAAAGGGGGAAAAAGTCAAAATCCCAACATAAATAAAAACGATCTCTATGAAGATTGTTACTTAAGAACATAATCACTGCTTATCAAAGTATGTAATAGTGTTCTTATTAGAGTTACCTGAGATTAGTAAAAAATTAATTATGGTGACTTGAAATTACATTATAAACAGTGACTGAAAGAGTTGATTTGTCACTCAAATTTCCTAATTAAAGTAGTAGTTTACATTTTGGAGGATGTTTTTCCTCAATATTGTTTATTATTGTATTCAATTTAAAATAAACCTTTTTTCTATTAAGGTTTTTTTTTGACAAGGAACTGTCTTTGTATCCCCATAATACAGTTCTTCAAAGATACAGGTGCTGGCAACCTAATAAATATTGTGGAATTTAATTCTCAGGTACTTACAGAGTCATGCATCTATTATTAGTATTTTGAAAGGACACCTATATGATGATAATCTTCCCTGTTCATAAAATGAATAACAGGATGGTTAGTAATTCAAAGTTCATTATGTCTCTGCACTATCATGAATCACAGTTTAAAGTACATTGTTAATCGGACTTTGGTCAACTGAAGTAATTCTCTGTAAACTTTGTTAAGGATATTGTGTGAATATTTGTTTTTGTATTGTTTTTAAATTTTTGTTCCTATCATTACGTGGCCAGATTTTTCCATTTTAGGTTTGATATCTTAACTATCTCCAAAAAGGAGTTGTTATTTTTGGTAGTTTAAAAATAAAAAATGTGGAACTTGATAGAACAAATGTGCTTAAACAGAAAATTATATGTTGTTGTAGCTAAGTATCAAGACTATATTCATATTTCTGATTATCAGAGTTATAGTTTACATTCTCCACTCAAATCTGTTTCATCAAATACACTTTAATTTTGAGTTCCAGGAGTAAAACTTTTTTTTTTTTTTTAATTGTAAAAATGGTTCATAATCTTTTAGGGAAAAAAATTTTTTTAAGTAATGCCCTTCCCCACATTCTTATTCTCCCAGGGACAATCACTGGTAACAATTTTCCATGCATCCTTAAGCCTTTGTTTCTGGGCACATACATAAACACATTAACACAATTCTAATTTTTCACACAGATAGATATATCAGCATTTTTTTTTTTCTTTTATAGTGCTGGGGTTGAACCCAGGCAACCTAATAAATATTGTGGAATATAGCAAGGGCTTTACCACTGAGCCACACCCCCAGTCCCAGCTTTTTTTTAATCCTAATTATGTCGTATAGTATAAACATATTTTTGTACTCCTTGATTTACAATGGGGTTACATCTTGATACACCTATTATAAATAGAAGAAAATTGAAAATGCATTTAATACTACTATCTGCCAAATGTCATAGCTTGGCATCATAATATACTTTTACCCTTGTGATTGTGTGCCTGTAGCTTTGGAAGCTGTAGCTTTATGCCACTGTCTAACAGCGTAAAACAATATGCAACATAATCTTAGACCTGGAAAAGATTAAAATCTGAAGGATGATTTCTCCTGAAGACCTATTTTTTTGGCACCAAAGTTGAATGATTGTTAAATTGAACCATTGTAAGTTGGGGACTGTCTGTACTTTATTCTTCCTGTGTTATATTCTGCAGAGTAGATATATCAAAATTTGCTTAACAATATATTCTTATAAAAATATATTTTAGAGTTTTGCTATTATTTGTTATAAATAATGAACTAAACATTCTTTTACATTATAGCATACCTTGTATAACTTTACTATTTCTATAAGAAAGTTTCACAAAAGTGTAAAATTACATTAAAAACAGTGACCCAGAGAGAGTTAATTTGTCATCCAAGCCTAATTAAAGTAGTAGTTTAGATTTTGGAGGATGTTTTTCCTTAATATTGTATATTATTGCATTCCATTTGAAATAAATTTTTTTCTATTAAGGTTCTATCAATTTAATTTCCCAAAGCTCTCTAGAGTTAGCATAAAATCCTTTTCTGTTTTAAGAACAAAGATATTCTCTTCTGTAGCCACAGTATATTTATTAAATGTGGGAAATTTAATAGTGATTATATTTTATAGCCCCTTTTCTAATTTTGTCAACTGTTCCAGTAACACCAATGTCTTTTATCCCATTTGTTTTTCTCAGGGGAAGAGCTGCTTAAGGATATCAAATTGCATTTAGTTATGTCTCTTAGTCTCCTTTAATTTGTAGCATAACCTCAGCTTTTCTCTTTCATAATATTGTCATTTTGAAAAATAGGCTAGTTGTTTATGAAATATTCTTCAATTTGAGTTTCTGATTCAAGTGATGCATTTCTGGCTAGAATATTATATATGTGTACCCTTTATAAGATAGTATGTCTAGAGACCTGTATCTGTCTGACCTTTATTAGTGGTTAATTTTGGTCAACTGGTCCAAGTGTCATCTGGCTTCTTCAGTATATAATTGTTATTTTTTCCTCTTGCAATTAACAAGCTATCTATGGGGAGACACTAGAAGGTCATGCAGATATCTGGAAGCCTCATTAAACTGTGCCCCTAGATTTGGCATCCATTGATTATTCTTGCATAAGTCTTTGATGGTTACAAAATCATGAGTTTTCCAATTCTAATATTCCCTGTAAAATTTTTCATTATGAGAAAGAGCCCTCCTTTTACTTCTGTCCATGCATGTCTACATTTATGATTGGTTTGGAGTCATGGATTTCTGTTTTTATAATGTTTAAGAACTTTTCTTGCCTCTCAAATTGTACTGAATCTCGCCATTGAGATTGACTTTCTGTCACCAAATTACTTTAGAGATTTACCTTCCTTCCTCACCCTAGAATCAGCCATTTGTCCAAGGAGCCCTGGTTAATTGGAATAATATTTAGAAACTCAGATTTGGGTGCTATATGTGATGTAACTACTGAGTACCTTTGCTTCCAGGTCTTTTCAGTGGATGTAATTTAAATGAATGTATAAATATTCCAGAAATCATAATTTTGTACTTCTAATTTCATTCCAATCTGAGTGCTTTCTTTTCTTTCTTGTTTCTGAATTTATATTTCTCTTCTTCCACATTGAGAACCCTGACTCCTGGTGTTATCATAGGTTTATGATTTTTGCTCAGTCCTATAATTTTCAGAATTTCTACTCCCATACTTCTGTAGAAAAAATCATAAAATGAAGAATTCAGCATGAGATTTTCTTATACTAAGGGTATGTGGTTGGCAACTGTTGAAAATTTTTTTAGGTTAGATTTTTGTTGTTATTTCTCCCCTCTTTACAGTAATAGCATTTATTTGAAATATTTGATTTCATGTGTTTCTGTTTAAATTCATTTCCATTCAATTATATACAGGAATGCTTATAAACTAACATGCTTTTGAAAGTTGAAACTCCTCCCCTTTGTTCAGAATGCCTTGTAGATAGCCAGTTTTATTGTTTTTTGATTCGATTTTACTGAATTTCTTATATAAATAAGCCCATTTATGAGAACTTTATTTCCCCTTCTTTCTGAGGCAGCAGGCATACTATGCTGTATATACTGTTTTGCACTTTGCTTTTAACAGATAATTTATCCTACCAATCAGCATAGAGCTTTTCCTCATTCATTTTTCATTGCTCAGTTGTGTGCCACTGTGCATCTGTACCACAGT